TCGATAATGGCGCATAGTTGTGGCTATATTTATGCAAGTTATTTGCCAAACCTAACCACTTACGGAGGTCCTTTTGGTTCCTCGTTACTGTACAGCCCACTATGGCTTTGACCTTAACAGGGTCTTCCCGGATTCCTTGCTTCCTAGTGAAGCATCCCAAAAATGAAATCTCTTCCGCCCCGAAGATGCATTTGTCAATATTGGTATACAACTTATGCTTCCTGTCAGCGGTAAATCACTAGCTCGCATGAGCAATTGGTAATATCCATCGACTAAGTCGAGGGCACTGTACATTGTACATCCCACCATATTTTTCTGAAGAACATCTTTGCGAGGAATTGATGTTGAGCCGGGATAGTGGCTGCATTCAGCTTATTGTAAGCATGCACTATTCGTCACTTCCCATTAGGCTTTCTCACACAAAACGTGGGCGTAGAGTGAGGAGACTTACTTTCACGCACCATGACAGCGACATGCTTCGCACGAAAAAACTCGTCAATGACGTCACATTGTTCCCGTGGCAGCGGCAACTGCCGCGTCAGACGTATTTGGTTCCTGGAACCAAGTCAATCTCATGACGTACACGTCTATCCGGAGGTAACCTCGTCGGAGGTTTCCTGGATACAACATCTCCATATTCCTTCAACAAAGAAAAATAAGGATCCGAAGGGTCCTTCAGGATCTGTGATCTACTACGCGCATTCAGCGCCTTCTTGTTATCCTCAAAAACTGCTTTATCCAGAAGCGATGAGTTCAACTCCTCCTCAGGTCATACAACGACCACTTCGGCGATGTCGCCTGCCTGTAAGACAATGCTAAACTCGGCAAAGAACAACTCGTCCAGCCTAACAGAGAACTTACTGCGGGTATAGTTGAAAGAGCCACCGGCTCTTCAACATCCTCAGTCCACCATTGGCGAGTGCATATAGCAGTTCGCTATCACCGTTACTCACGACATCATTATCGCTACTCATGATGCTCTCAGCATCCGACGCATCAGCGTCAACAGGTGTACACAACTCAAGGTCAAAGACCACTTCGTTTACTGACTGCACCCCACCCTCTTTGTTCAATGACTTGTCATGAGGTGTTCGCACCTCGTTGTCCTCAAAAACAACCGTCATTCTTGACTTCACCCGACCCTCCAGGGCCAGTACCTCGTCGTTAGGTGCTCGCACCTCGTTATCCTCAGCGACAGCATCCATTTGTGACTTCAATCGGCCCTCCAGTGTCAGTTCCTCAAAAGCCATGTCACTTGGACTCATGTCGTGACACCTTGGCTTGCAGCCACCAACACCACTCACGGTGTTGAATGGTGTAACATCATTTTCATGACACATGTCATATGTACCATCTAGTGGGTTTCCAACCACACTATCGACAGTCATTTGGCCTCGCCCAGGACCATTGTCCTCGACACTTACAGTGTCTACAAAGTCGGATATTCCGACATCCAACATATTGACCGACTCGTTCAATATCCGTGCTAATAGCGTTTTTGCTTCCTAGCAGAGGTAGGTTCATGATTCTCCAGAGCCTCACCAGGAGCATTGCGCGTTGCGCCTAAGGTCTTCGACCTCCAATCAATCCATGGCTCATGACGTTCTAGCCATGCCATGCCTACGATGAGGTCATACCTCGCATCCAGGTCTAAGACCAAACAGCGTTCCATGCTGTTAAAGTCCAAGAACTTTACAACTAAGTCCATCGGGACTTGGGTACCGTAACACGCGGACCCGTTGCTAAGCGAGTCATGACTGTGTCGCTTTCACGCGCTACAAGCGCTTCAGCATACTGCTGACTACCTTTCACGGTGGCACGGCGCACATAGTTGCCCGATGCCCCCGAATCGATCAAAATGATCCATGGCTTATCATACCATTAACCGTCCCTTCGACGACTAGCAAGCCTGGCTTGCATTCTCGTTCCGTTTTTGAGAGTTCGGATCTCTTTGGGGCTGGGCCCTGTTTATTTCTACCTCCTAGAAGTTCAACAAAACTCAGTTCTTCCCCAGTAGTACGCCCCGCGTCTACTGGGTTCCGCCGTTTCCCCGCGGCAAACCAGAAGATTTACCCATGGGGGAGTCGGCCCTTCGAGGCCAAATATGCCTTTCTTGCAGGGCATTTTGCCATCCAATGGCCTGTGCTCTTGCAGATATAACATCTGCGCACAATTTGCTACTCCGCAGCTTGAAGCTCAGCTTCTTCATCCTCCACTTGACTACAGTCCATGCGTACAGACCCATCAGACGAGTAGTTATAAGTAGTAGGCCTAGCGGCCTTAAAGCTGGTCTCGGCATTCCATGCCACTCAACGGCTTCCTCGAACGAGGACGGGTGTACCCAGAAGACTTCCGTTCTGGCAACGCCAGCTCGGAGGCCCTCCATGTAGACCGTGACGGTCACTGCCTCAGGCATAGGGTTAATGACCAAGGCAGCAATGAGAGTTCTCAACTCTTGTACATATGCCGCAAGCTCACGCTTGCCTTGGCGACACGCCAAAACGCGACCGGTTACGGTGTGCTTGGTTGGGCGGTGCATACTGCCGGATCATCTGGGCTTTCAGGTCGGCCCACGTTGGGAATGCACCCAACTTACCCGTGACAAAGCCCACACGGTACGGTTCATACGTTATGTCGGCTATAAACATAGCCGACTCAACCTGTCGGAACCAAAGCATAAAGCTGTCACCTTCTTTGCCGTCGAACTTATCGACTTCCATTTGTATGGATTTTGGTCTGCGGACCACTTCTTGCGCCATAGTCGCCATGGGCGAAGGCGCAGAAGAAGGCATCTGTGCCTTTACATGCTCGACTAGAGCTTTATTATACTCATCAAGCATACGATTACGCTTGTTAACCTCTTCTTCGCCCTGGGCGATGAGGTACTCCGCGCTCTTAGGGCCAAGGATAGGGAGCAGCTTTGCAACCCTTCCTGTTGTGCCTGTGATAGAACAACCGCTGAAATCTCCTCGATGTCCATTCTCACACAGAGAAGTAGTCGCAAACCCAGGTGCGGGATTGTCTACAAATGCTACCAGGCGTAGCCGAGCTACTGTAGCCAAGCTACTTATGCACTATGTGCAGAGGAAGACAAGCTCAGAGAGCTTATACGTCTTAGGGTGCCTAACCCTCCTAGGCTAGCCCGTAAGCTTGTGCCTATCGGTTGTTACAACCGGGTCTCAAAGAGACTAGTATCAAAGATACTGATTCCTCAGGAGGAATAGAAAGCTCAAGCAGTGATGCTTACAGAGCAGGTTTGAAAATGATTTGTATTTATGTTTATCTTCTAACACTAAATATAGAAGCACTTATCATATACTTAGTGCTAGTCACTATTACTGGCTCTATAGCCTGTTATTATTATGCAACATGCATAATCACTACACAAATAAGTATAGTGACCACGTGGCTCTCTGCCACGATGTGACCCTTCGTACTTCAGGTACGGTCACATCACCTACTTTTGTACCCAAGGTACAGCCACACCACATTGGTGTAACGGGACCCTTGTAACGGGGTTACACGAAGGTGTGTATTGTACATACACACCTTCGTGTAACCCCGTTACAAGGGTGCTGTTGGAGGCGACAGTTAGTAGGAAGGTCGAACTTGTATAAGAACGATTATGAACGACAGTTCCAAATACTACGTTGCGGACGGAAGCCGGTTCTTTGTACAACACTACTGACCTTGCTTCCACAGCAGTAAGCGTTTGTCGACTGCTGTCGCCGCTTCTGGACGTCCTGGTCAAAATTGTCAACGGCATCAAGGCAATCCTGCCGGATGAAAACCGTGTATTCCCACGAGTCATACGACTGGGATAACCCCTACCCTTCACCAGTTACTGGGCATGACCCTGGGATCAGACTTGCCTCTTGTCGAGGCTTCAACATGCCTTTTTCTTGTATCGACGCCATCGTCATCGACCTACACAATGATTCGTAAAACGCTGGTCTGCAACAAGCGCCATTCATCCATCGTAGTTGTTGCATATGCCACCAGAAACACACAGATGCTGCACCATGCAAGCTAAATCAATTCGGACGGGTTGAACAATAATTAAGTTGCTTTTCAGGTTGATGACAGCCAACAAACAACGTTAAGATGCACAAAAGCATTCCAGAAACACACATCATATCGTACTATATGGTTTCGCTAAAAAGCAAATGAGGTAGGGTCTTCGATTCTGATACTCTTTTGCCAGATACTCTGCAGTCACTTGTAAGGTAGCCCAGCAGTAGTTACCAATACGTAAGACGATTTTACGTGAAAAGCTTCCTCGCTGTTATCCATTTTTAATCAATTCGTCGGCAGTTGACTTGTCACCATCGTTTCTTCTTGATGTTATGACTTGACATACTAGGCAAAGACGCAGCAGCAAAATTGTTGCGGTGGTGGCGTGATGAAAGATAGTGTCGTCGGCATATTCAGCAAGTAAAGTCCACAATGGAAAGATTTAAGCAAACAAAATGAAGGCTTGAAGTCTCAAAAGCTTAGCACGACGCGATTGTCGCAGAGCATATGCTGTCAAAGATTTTCAGTGCACGGCTGGAGCGCAAGCAGGCGCTGTTGCCGCAGAAAAGAGTATTGAGGTGGGAATGCAGCGCACTGAAGAAGTGTATCAAACTATCGCTTAGCGCAATGCTACTGAACTACAATGCAGAGCTGCCGAAGCGTGGCGACGTGGTGCCTCATCCAATGAAGCCATATTCAGATTTTAGAAAACGATGGATGAGGTCGGGGACGAGCTCCACATGTACACAAGCTATACGTCGATATAACACACAGCACGCTAATCACAGAGGTAGACATGTCATCTTCGGTTTCCAACCCGTGTTTCCAGCCATTGCTGCTCGATGCTGCGCAAACGGAAGCTTTAGCCACCGATACGCTCCATAGCTTCGGATTTAAGGGAACGAACGTCTTATTTTAAAGCAAATGGTATGACAAAGCTCAGATATTGTCAGTTCTTATAGAGGAAGATTCTATTTGATTTTGACATGAAGCTTGCAAAGGCAGCAGCCCAGCAGCTTAAGGCTGTTGTCGTGGAGTACGACGTACTATGCAGCACCCTATTGGACAAATCTTCCGCTTTGCAGGGTGAGAAACATTGCTACGGGATGGCAGCAGAGAAGATCCGAGAGCAAAAGGAACAACGCGTTGGTTTGTCGCTTTTTAACACCACATCAATCAAGTCGATGCTAGTTCGTGACGCTCGTGGACTGCTCAAGTATCTGAGGAAAGAAGACCGAGAAGAAGAGACGTTAGTGCTGAAGGAGCAACTGCAGAGCACGTTCCAAGGTTTGCCGAGTCAAAGTACGGTGTGAATGATTGCAAAGTGATGGAAAGAGGCTGAGAGTCATTTTCATGTGTATTTGCGTGTCAATGTAGTCCTGGAGCGAATTACAAGCCCAGAAGACAAGGAGAAAGCTGATGTGGGTACGATCAATGGTAGAGTCTACTTGGAGAAGAAGCTGCAGTCGTCGTTGGAGACGTCGACGAAATGTAACCAGCAGAAGAAAAATGCGAGATTGAAACACGAACGGTGGAGCGAAGAAGGTTTCGGGGTTAAGAGCGGGAATCAGACCAGCTCGTTGAGAGATAAGTACTTGGACAAGATTATTCAGCTGAAGAAAGGTCAGGAACGAAGCACGATGGAACGAGAGGAAATCGTAGGGGCAACCACGTCAGCGGGTCTATCGACGTGGGTCGTGAATGAAGGAGCTAACGAAGTTTTGGTACGTTGTGGTTAAAGATTGGGGAATTAATTACCTGTAGATACGGAGTAATATTTGGGGACTAATCGGATGTAGCTATTTTGGTAGAGCTACTCGAATCTGCGAGGATTGTTTAAAGCGGTGATTCCACCGAGGGATCCACTGCAGGATGTACGTACCAGTATCGGCTTCTTGTAAAGCAATAGGATTTATGTCCAACAATAAGTGCTGACCCAAGATACGTGCTGCTAATAATGTGTGATGGTTGCTACTGTTATATTGAACATGCACAGGCAGAGTACAATTGCTTTCTGAAAGAGGTAATCGTTTTTCATTCTGAAACAGCTACTTCTGATACTCTTGATGTATCAATCACTAAGACACACCGACATTTTTTGACGTTTTTGCTAGATGATGGGTCAGTTTGACATGTTTCTGCCGAAAACGGAACAGCAAAAGTTTCCAAACCCGATGCCAATTCTTTACATTTGCAAAGTGTTGGACTTGAAGCCGTCCGATGTTCTAGTGCTTGCTCGACATGCATCTACCATAAAAGCTGCCAAGTACGTTCTCTCCTATGTTTATCGTCGTTATCGATTGGAATACGTAGCTAAATGTTATAAGTGTACTTGTATATATTGCACTACTTCAGGGATGCCAAGACGCATGTTTGCCAGTATATACCTGAAGACAAGGTCATTCCAAATCACACGGCACATTATCACTTAACACACTTGAAGAAGTATCAAGATTTGATTGAAGACTTTAACGGTATTTCCTACCGTGACAAAATCCTTCTGGGCTCGATCGAGTTTTAAAACCTTTTTAGAACGAACTCAAGGCTAAAATAATACCAAAACTATCACTTGAAAAGTTGCATGTGGTCCACGTTACGATTTGGATTCCAATCAAGTTTAAACGGTGCGAAGGTCAAAGCGCGTTGGTTCCTTCCACTCGAACGCTCGTATTTTCAGTGTTGCTACTCATTCTGCTCTATACGTTTACGCTCTCTCTCCAAACCCTTTCTATCCTCTATCTATTCATCTACATCAATTCCTCTACTTGTCTCTAGAACCCAAGATATTACCCTTTCAACGTGAAGCAGATATGGCGTATAATTACGTAGCGACGGCTCAGAAACCGACGAGCGTCACACATTCACTCACTGCTTCATTCACAGGCGTTAATGATACAAATTTACTACTGGCCAAGAATACACGCTTTGAGATACATCTTCTAACTCCAGAGGGCCTTCAACCGCAGCACGACATTAATTTATATGGTCGTATTGCTATCTTTGAGGTCTTTCGAGCCACGAATGAGCCCCAGGATTGGCTCTTTATTGTCACACAACGCTTCCAGTTTTGTGTATTGGCCTATGATACAATAACGCAACAGATAAGGACAAAAGCTCATGGTAATATTCGTGATTCCATCGGTCGTAGCAGTGAGATTGTAACCAGTGGAAATATTGACCCAGAAGGACGTTTGATTGGAATGAATTTGTATGAAGGTTACTTTAAAATCATTCCTATTGACAGCGGTAAAGGAATACTGAAAGATACATTCAACATTCGTCTCGATGAGCTACGCGTGATTGATATCAAGTTTTTATATGGGTATAATAAACCGACAATATGTGTCTTGTACGAAGACTACAAGGCTGCAAGACACATAAAAACGTACCATATTTTAATGAAAGAAAAGGATTTTGCAGAAGGACCTTGGAGTCAATCGAATGTTGAAGCGGGAGCAAGTTTGCTCATTCCAGTACCGGCTCCGACGGGTGGAGTACTTATTGTGTCCAACCAGACGATTGTATATCACAATGGTAACACGTTCCATGCTATTCCAATGCAAAGCACTGTTATTCAAGTCTACGGAGCTGTGGATAAGGATGGATCGAGGTTCTTGTTAGCGGACCAATATGGAACGCTCTCGGTAGTGGCGTTGCAACTTACCGGGAAAGAGGTGACTGGCGTGCATCTAGAGGTGCTTGGAGAGACCAGCATTGCTTCCTGCTTATCGTATTTGGATAATGGCGTCGTGTTTATTGGAAGTACGTTTGGCGATTCGCAGCTGATCAAACTTAATGCAGATAGGGATGAGCGCGGGTCTTATGTTGAAGTCTTGGATACCTATGTAAATGTTGGCCCAATTATTGATTTTTGCGTGATGGACCTTGATCGCCAGGGTCAGGGCCAAATTGTTACTTGCAGTGGTGCTGACAAAGATGGAACGCTGCGTGTGATCCGCAATGGAATTGGGATCAATGAGCAAGCCTAGTGCGGAACTGCCTGGTATTAAAGGCATGTGGTCGCTTCGCGAGACGTTCGCTGCAGAGCATGACAAGTATCTGCTGCAGAGCTACGTTGGCGAGATACGCATTCTTGCGATCGGTGACGAGGATGATATGGAAGAGAAAGAAATTCCGGCGTTCGCTAATGTAAAAACCCTGTTCTGTCGAAACATGTATGGCGATGTGTGGCTCCAGGCGACTGAGTCGGAAGTGCGACTTATTAACTGCAGTACGTTTCTGTTTAGCTCGACATGGTCACCACCATCAGGGTCACGAATTACTGTCGCTACTGCAAACCCTACCCAGGTTGTGGTAGCTACGTCTGGTGGTATGCTCGTGTATTTGGAGGTTGAACACGGGCAGATTATTGTAAAAAACAAAGTAAAGATGGAGCACGAGATCGCTTGCGTGGATGTTACACCGCTTGGTCGCAAGGACGTAGGCGAGGGAGATGTTTCGATGATGGGTTCATTAACTCACTGGGACATGGCTGCTCTTCGCAGTTCGATCTGTATAGTTGGGCTATGGACCAATTTCTCGGTGTCGGTTCTAAGACTGCCAACACTTGAAAGGCTGACAAGTGAGTCACTCGGAACTGACCTGCTTCCAAGGTCAGTAATCTGCAACACATTTGAAGGAAAGGATTATCTACTCGTCGGACTTGGCGACGGTAGTCTTATGAATTACGAGCTGGACGTCGAACAAGGAAAACTTGGATTACGAAAGCGAATATCGCTGGGCTCGCAGCCCCTTACTCTATCAACTTTTCGATCCAAGAATATGACGCACGTATTTGCAGCATGTGACCGTCCGACTGTTATCTACTCCAACAACAATAAGCTTTTATACTCCAACATTAACTCGAAGGAAGTGAACGTGATGTGTCCGTTTGACTCGGAATCCTTTCCGGAGTGTCTTGCACTTTCGTCTGAAGCAGAACTGACGATCGGTACGGTAGATGACATCCAGAAGCTACATATCCAAACTTTTCGTTTAAACGAGTGGGCACGCCGAATTGCTCATAACGCTGAATCACATACACTTGGTGTGCTTACTGTAAACTTCACGGTTGACGACACTGGCGAGGAGGTAGATCAGGGTTTTGTGCGTCTGTTTGACGACCAAACTTTCGAACTGCTCCACTCGCATCGACTAGATCCGTTCGAGACTCCATGTTCGGTGGTCGTGTGTCCTTTTGCAGGAGATTCCACGGGTGCATCGTATTTTGTAGTTGGAACTGCTTATGTACACGAAGAAGAGGCTGAGCCGCACCAAGGTCGTATTCTGGTATTTGATGTCACGGGCATCCATGGCGAACGGAAGCTACAGTTGGTTGCCGAAAAAGAGGTGAAAGGTGCGGTGTACTGCTTGAATGCTTTCAATGGCAAGGTGTTGGCGGGTGTTAACAGCAAGGCGCAATTGTACAAATGGAGTGAAAACACTGACAACGAGAAAGAACTGGTATCAGAGTGCGGTCACTATGGCCACACATTGGTGCTTTACATGGAGTCACGAGGCGATTTTATCGTGGTAGGCGATTTGATGAAGTCAATTTCTTTGCTGAGCTACAAACAGCTAGATGGCACGATTGAGGAGATTGCAAGGGATTTGAATTCAAATTGGATGTCAGCTGTAGGCATTGTTGATGACGATACGTACATCGGCAGCGAAACGGATTTCAACTTATTTGCTGTGCAACGTAACAGTGGCGCAGCGTCTGATGAAGAGCGTGGTCGCTTGGAGACGGTTGGTGAGTTCCACTTGGGCGAGTTTGTAAATCGTTTCAGACACGGATCGTTGGTCATGCAGAACAATGCGACGTCAGCACAAGCGCTTGCTGCCAACGCTTCAACTGGATACAGTGACATGGTTGACGTGAGTGTGTCAGCCCCGGTTGTTTCAGCTGTTCAAAATCAATCAATGCTTTTCGGTACAGTCAGCGGCATGATTGGCGTCATTTTGTCAATTAGCAAGGATCAGCACGCATTCTTGCTTCGTGTGCAGCAAGCGCTCACGCAGGTCGTGAAGGGTATTGGCGGTTTTTCCCACAAAGATTGGCGCACCTTCGAAAACCGACGATCAGTGTCAGAAGCACGTAACTTCATCGACGGAGATTTAGTCGAAAGCTTTTTAGACTTGCCCAAGCCACAGATGATGAAGGTTGTGGAAATACTGAACAACGACGGAATGCTGGATGACATGGGCCAATATACTGTGGAGGAATTGACGTTGCGGATTGAAGAGCTCGCTCAGCTGCACTAGTCGAACGAAAACAAACTGCAACTAGTGAACAGAACAAGCTGAAGCGAAAACCATAACATTATTGGTTTGTGTTAGGGTGTGACGTGGTCATGTCGAATCTCTATTATACCTTGCTTTGGACTTGACAATACCGTTCGCGTTGCATTGTTGTATCACGCCAGAGTTGACATTGTGGCAGCTTTCTATAAGACAAACGTATTCCACAATAGCACTCGTGTAAACTGCCATTCCTATCATAACAACAACACACGCCTGCATGTTAAGGTCCCTTCACACACGACGGAATAGTGTTAGGTAGTGAATTCCAGCATCTTTTTTTCGTTCTGATTGAATGGTTTTGAGTCACAAACAAGTACATTTCCAATACGTTGTCCAGAATGTAATCTCAGGCGCATTTGATTGAACCCCAATGCAGTATGAGGTAGAGTGTGGACCAATTATGTAGTTCACCATTGGAGAAGGCAATCTTCAGTTAAAAAGGACGTGTCGTTGCCATTTCTACTTGCAGTTTTACGAAGAAAATGAACAAACGGCAATCAAAAAGACCTTTTCATCGTGTGTTGCATTACAACTTTTACCTTCCGTCCATCGCTGTCTTTTGTTTTCGAATTGGCACATCTCAGTACAGCTTGCACTTCTCTGTGGGCTTCTTATTCGGTCTCCTTGTCTGATAATGGTCATATTCAACGTGTGGCAGTAGAAGTCTTTCTCTCAAATTGCTACGTCAAATGCTGAATTCTTAGACTGTGTTGCTATGGTGGTGTGGATCCTTGTAGTATTTGAATTGCTGCACCTATCTAGCAGCAAAGGCTTATGACCTCGCAACCTTGTAGTCAGTAACCCGTTCACTACATGCAATTGGTGCACATTTTTCAAGTCTTTGACATTGAGCCAGAGACAAACAACTGATAGATACACCACCAGCAGCTTACCTTCGATAGCATGATCTTTCACGACATCGTCCATGTAAATTTAATCAAGGAGCTTCAGTAAAGCAATGTGAAAGGGCTTCGTGATAGTAGTTTGGATGTTGGTATGCACTTCTCCGACTAATTTTTGCAAGGTGCCTGCAGCGTCAAACAACTTGTAACGAGGTCATGCAATGGAAGCAGCATATAAGCTCTGCACCACAATCATTTCGTGATAGCGTGTATGATCACTGCTGGTCTCGATTTAATAGATATACTACTTCTGTCGACGGGCCGAGAGGACACCTCCTGTCTCAAGCCACACCATAGCGCATACTTGTTCTTCTTCTTCATCACATTTCCTGGTCCGTTTTTGTACCTAATCCTTCTTAAAGTCCATCAATAACTCGGCCAGCTCACCAGACTTGTTCATATCCGTGATAATGTCGCAGCCACCTACAAATTCACCGTTCACGTAAAGCTGTGGGATCGTTGGCCATTGTCTACACCCGAATCGATACAAATATGCAGACACAATTCCATAGTGAAATGTCAGCTTTACGTTCAATCTACTAACACCTAGCATACGTACGAGTACTCCTTCACGCCCTCACGAATCTCCGGGTGATCCAATACATTAACACTGTCAAAACTCACACCCTGCGCGTGCAGGATGCGTACCACCTGCATACTAAATCCACACTGAGGAGATGATGGGGTACCTTTCATATAAAGCATCACAGGATACGTCTTGACATGACTTTCAATCATTTTAAGAATCTCGTCCTTCTCATTGGATTTAGAAGCGTGATACTTTGGCTGGAAGTCCGAATGCGAGTGATTTTCATTCTTTGTAGAAAAAAACGATACTGTAAGGATAAAACTGGTACAGCCTGTTGCACGGTTCGAATAGAGAGACTGCGTTGGCTACCACGACGCAGGACTGAGCGAGATAGACGGCGTACAAGCGACGTCATTAGCAATTAGAGTACCGTAACTTGTTCGTTTTGAAGAATGTGAGGTTAATATTCATTTATAGAGTCAATGAAAATGACTGTTCATCGATTGGTTAATAAGATCAATTTAACAATATATGATAAAATATGTACAGCCCTTTCTAACCAATCAATGACTTAACTCTTGCTTGCAGCATTGACATTCTTCAAACTAGAACAAGTTGCGAGAAGAAGAAAAAGACTCTTCTTGTCGTCATCTCTGTGTCATTCATTATTTCTCCTATGGTGTCTAATCCACCGCATATTACAACACAAAGCGTAGGAATATCAGATAAACAATCAGCAGCTGCTTCTGCCGCGCGGTTTGCTGGATACTCTTCATTCTACACATCGCCTTCTCAGAATGCGACGCCATGTTCAAGTGCTCCACCGCCTCGCCCTGGTATGCATACTGTGCCTCGTGTCCCTCCTCCACCTCCACCACATCTTGATAATGGTTTTGCTCGTCCGCCGCTTCAGTTTTCGTTCAATGGTCGAGGTCCACCGCCGACAATTCGGCCACCTCTTCGTCCTAATGTCAACTGGACACCGTCTTCTTCTTCCTCGTCTCAGTGGCAGTGGAGCCATGGAAGTAGTACAAAGACTTTTTCTTCTGTGCCTCCTGTAAATATGAGCCCGCAGACATGTGGACCTCCTCGTATGAGCTTTGGACCTCCTCCTAGCGCTATCACGGCGTCAGATTCTGCAGCTCCAGCTACTGCATCGGCTATGGTTGGAAACGCCAAGTGGCCTGAATCGCTACATAATTATGTGAAGCGAGCTTTTGGTCGCTGCAAGGGAGCGGCGGATCAAGCAATTACACAGAACTTTCTTAAGGAGTCGATTACTAATGCTATCATGTCAAATAGTTTGTGGACAAAAAATTGGACGACAGAGCCTCTGCCCGTACTGGTAGGAGACACAGACCTCTGCCCGTACTGGTAGGAGACACGTCGACAGCGGCTATGCAAACCAAGGTTGGAATGGGGGAACCTATGGCTGAAGCGCATGGTAACAGTTTTGCATCTCATTTGTCCACTAACAGTAGTTGTCGACCTAATCAAGGCTGTGTTCTTTCCAAAGACCCTTCTGGCAAGAAAAAGAGGAAGAAGAACAAGCGCAAACACGACGGCGTTGAGGTGGATGAAGTTGATATGCAGCGTAAAAATAAGAGAAGAGAACGATTTCATATGACTCAGCAGGAACTCAAGCGTTTGGTATCCCCCGAGGTAGACACGAAAAAGCTGCAGGTTTTGACCCTTGATGGGGATCTAGATCTTGCAGCCATGGTCATTAAAGGTACTAATCAGACGGTTGAAAAGGAATACTTGCGATTAACTTCTCCCCCGCATCCATCAACGGTGCGACCAGAGCCAGTGCTACACAAGGCACTGGAGCTCGTCAAGTCGAAGTGGGCGAAGGGTAATCATGATTATATTTATGCCTGTAGCCAGCTCAAGTCCATTCGACAGGACTGCACGGTTCAGCATATCAAGAATGCGTTTACCGTGTCTGTATATGAAACTCACGCCCGGGTAGCGCTTCAGTCCGGTGATATTAACGAATTTAATCAGTGCCAGACGCAGCTTCACGAATTGTATGAGAAGCTAGTCCCGGGCGAGGCGATTGAGTTTCTGGCGTATCGCATTTTGTATTGTGTCTACGTGTCTCTGCAGTCCAAGAAAGGGGACTCAAATGCGGGTCAGCTCGGCATGTACAATGTGCTGGGCATAGTAACACCTAAGCTACGTTCCCGCCCAGCGATTGCCCACGCGCTGTCAGTGCGCCAGGCAGTCGCTATGAATGATTATCATCGTTTTTTTAAACTCTTTGTAGGTGCTCCGAATATGGCAGGTTACCTGATGGACGTGATGGTTCCCGCGATCCGGCTGAGTGCGCTTCGAGCTATGTGCAAAGCGTACGGTGATATGAAGCTGCATTTTTGTTGCTTTTTGCTCACTATGTCTGTATGCGCAGGTACCGTCCAACTATCTCGATGCAGTATATTTGTAATGAGCTCAAGCTTGAAGGCAAGACAGGAAAAGCATTTATCCGTCAGTCTGGTCTCGCGTTCGTTCAAGGAGACAAGTCGCGCGTTGATACAAAGGCGTCAAACATCGTCTGGGCACTATGTAACGAGTCATCGCTTATTTAGGCTGTTGTTTTGCATAAGCCCGACAAAGGTGATTGACCAACGAATGCTGAGGCGCACAGTGGTAGACATTATACAATACCAGACGAAGCAAGCGGTTGTAAGGTGTTGGTAGGCTAAAAACGGATTTGCCGAGAAACTGTGTTCGGTGTCTCTCTCCGCCCCTCCACTGAGTAAGAGAGTCTAGATGCCGAGTGTACCGTTACTGACCAGCGTGTCGTAATGACAGCAACTTGCAAGAGTAGCATGGGTATGAAGTGGCGGTGGACGATGAGGCATGAATTTTTGATAGCGGATAGTGGGACGGGGAGTCTGGATGCTCTTATCGAGTCGGGTATTACTGTTTGTTATTGAGATGAGGAGAAAGAGGATCTAGTGCACCCAGCCGTGATATCTGTATGCTGCATATTTCTGTGCTTTGCTAGTGTTTGAGAAGTGAGGAATAGTGCTAATGGTTTTTCTTGTGAAGCTGAGCTAGAAATTTGAGTGTCATCCGTAATATAATGAAATCGCTCTTACGTTCGCTCGTAGTGTTGTCTATGTGAATTCTACGCGGGGATGAAAGGTTCTAGCCACGCAAGCAACGTCTTCAGACAAAATTGGCGCTACCTCAAAGCTTATGCTTTTTCTGCACAGGCTCGTCCTGCTTGCTGCCATCGCGAGCCAGCTGAATCAATGCGGCATCGGCGATGGCGAGAGCAGCCATGGACTCCACAAGCGGCACAGCGCGAGGCAGAACACACGGATCGTGACGACCCTTAGCCTCCAGTACAGTTTCCTTACCATCGTAGTCAACCGTTGGCTGCGCACGTCCGATGGTCGAGACGGGCTTTATGGCCACACGAAAGTAGATATCAGCGCCACTCGTAATCCCACCCAATACACCTCCAGCATCGTTCTTGGTCACACCGAGCTTGTCCGGGTTCTGTACATCTGAGCCCGCGCAGAACGGATCATTATGCTCCGAGCCACGCTTGCTCGTGCCGGAGAACCCAGAGCCAATTTCAAAGCCCTTGGTGGCCGGGATGGACATCATGGCGTGCGCCAGGACGGCCTGCATCTTGTCAAAGCACGGTTCGCCCAGACCCACTGGTGCATTGCGGATCACACACGTGACTACACCACCAGTCGAGTCCTCATCCACCTTCATCGTGCGCACGACAGTAGACATGGCACAAGCCGATGGCGGATGCGGACATCGCACAGGAATTAAATCATCTGTAAGCCAAGCATCCAGGTTTTCTGGAGTGGCTACAACATCACCCTTTCGGTTGTACACAATCTTCTCCGTGTCAATGTACGCAGGCGTGGCAAGGTCGGCTTCAGCCTTGACAAACTCGGCGTCGTACGCCTTGTCGTGCTCCAGCTGCTTGACAGTATCCTCTACCTTGGTCCACTTGGTAGGGTCACGCAGAATACGAATCGATCCAATGGTATCAACGTCCTCACGGGTGTAGGTGGCCTTCTTTGGATCGTTCAGCAGGTCACGGGGCATGTCAACTGTACCAATGGAACTGACCCAGCATACAATGGACGTGCCAAACTTTTCCTTAAGCCATTTCTCAGCTATTGCACCAGAAGCTACACGACCAATGGTTTCACGAGCACTTGCGCGACCACCACCACTACTGGCACGGGTACCGTACTTCATCTGGTATGTGTAGTCAGCGTGACCGGGACGTGGTACTTGGTCCATTTCCTTGTAATCTGTAGGACGTACATTCTCATTAGGCACAAATAGTGCCACTGGTGTTCCAAGCGTAAAACCTTTCTCTGTGCCACTCATAATGGTCACCATGTCCTTCTCATCGCGAGGAGTGGTGAGCTTGCTCTGGCCTGGACGACGACGTGTAAGCTGTGGTTGAATATCAGCCTCTGTTAGAGAAAGCGATGGTGGAACACCATCTACAATACATCCTACGCCTTTGCAATGGGATTCACCAAAGGTTGTGACTCGAAAGAAGCGTCCAAATGTGCTCATAATGCTCTAGGATTTACTCGTGTGCGTCCAAAATTCTGAAAGTGACAAGCTTTTCGATATGGATCAAATCTCAAAATCCAATAAATTGCAATTTCTATTCTAGATTATTTTTCTACAAAAACTATATAGGTTGGGTCATGCTACTTGATAGGTTTTGATCAGCTTTTGAATTTATTCTTTTGGTACTATCATTACATTAAAACTTAGCAAATTACGGTAATATGTAGCTTCAAGGCCACTATCTGTTCTCTCTTTAAATGATTGAATAATAATGGAGCTGAACTAAAATGCAGATTCATTTGTTTCCACTTGCTAGATTTGCTTTTCTATGCTGGTTCGTACAAAGGTCGCTTGGATCTTGGATCCGTTTCGTAACGAAAACTAGAGCAAAAATATGAACCAGTTTTCTAGGAGTAAGATAACGGATCCTAAAAATGGTACAAAGATTCATTGAAATCATGGGTAGAAAAAGACAAACAAAATCTCGTGGTCAGAATTTCGAAGCGGTCATTCCTGATCCTGCTTTCATAGTGTCAAGTTCTTTCTTTATTAGAAACTGTTTAGAATAAGAGCAATGCAAAGTACCCAAAGTGAGATTGAAATTGAGCGTGCAATCAAGCGCCAGCGTCTTGAAGACCGTAACATTATTGTTATAAAGCCGTTGGTACCACCTGCTTGTATTTTAGAAGAATTACCAGTTACACCAGAGGTGTATGAATTGGTGGACACAACCCGCGATGCAGTATCTCGCATTTTGCACGGTGAAGATGACCGTTTGGTTGTGATTGTGGGTCCATGTTCGATTCATGATGTAGAGGCTGCTATGGACTACGGAAAGCGTCTTAAAACGCTTGCAGACGAACTCAAAGGAGAATTGCTGGTGATTATGCGCACCTATTTTGAAAAACCTCGTACTACAGTTGGTTGGAAAGGACTGATTAATGACCCCGACCTGAATCAGTCTTATAACATTAATAAGGGTATCCGCATTGCTCGCAAGCTGTTGCTGGATCTGAACTCGCTTGGTATACCTGTAAGCCTTGAATTCCTTGATACTATCTCACCGCAATTTACATCCGACCTCATTTCGTGGGGAGCTATTGGTGCTCGTACTACGGAGTCACAATTGCACCGTGAACTTACCAGTGGATTATCCATGCCAGTGGGTTTCAAGAATGGTACGGGTGGCAATGCGAAGGTAGCAGTGGACGCGGCTGTGGCTGCATCACAACCGCACAACTTTTTGGGCTTGAATGGACACGGACTGGCGTCTATTGTGCGTACCAAGGGCAACAAGGACTGCCATGTGATCTTGCGCGGTGGCTCAAGTGGCCCCAACTACGAGCAGAAGTACATTGATGAGGCTGCTGCAATGCTAGTGAAGGCGAAGCAACCGTCCAAAATCATGGTAGACTGCTCGCATGGCAACTCCCGCAAACAACACGCCAATCAAATGAAGGTGGCTAGCTACTTGGCTGGCATTGTGGCTGAAGGTGACACAAACGTGCTGGGTGTCATGATTGAGTCAAATATCGTGGAGGGCAACCAGTCGCTCGGTGATGATCCGTCCAAGCTCATTTACGGCAAGAGCATCACGGATGCGTGCATTAAATGGGAAGATACGGTCACAGTACTAAAGGAGCTTGCGGGTGCTGTAAGTAAGCGGCGTAAACGTGCTGATGCCTACTAATTATCACCATATCGTATGCAATGTACTCGATGATAGACATACTAACATGTTTTCATCTTAACTAAATCGAGTGACTTGATAAACGATTGCAATAATGAGCTGAAACGGCGAAATCAAATTAGATGCAAACTTGACGCGTGCCTCAGTCAATGTTACCGTTAAAGCTTGACGGACAGCACCTAATGTGACATGAAAGCTAAGTTAGTGACCAAACACGTCAACCACAGCAACACATGCGTCGTATCCAAGCACCGCAAGCTGCGAATACGAGAATCACGTTAATAATCACCTGTGACTTTCCCCATTTCCAGCCCGACTTCAACCAGCTCACGATCCAGTGGCGGTATCCAGTGTCTTTAGAGTGGGCATTGGTCACATGTTAATTCATGGCAAGCGTATGTCGATAGAATCTCCACCCCACGAGTAACGGACGACGTATAGTTCACTCGTCTAGCTGCTAGCGACAGGGCGCTAACTCGCACCCCCGTGCGTTATATATCGATATTAATGCATCCGAGAGATTGCGCAGCGAAAAAGCAGCCTCATTTGCGTTTGCGTTTTCAGGTTGCGACAGCTCACGAAATATACTCGTTCGTGCCTGGTAAATTGTTAGCTGCGTTGAGTCATTCCTGCTTGTATCCTTGACAATGATTATCTGGCGAGATCGTCTTGCGTCGGATGTAATGGGGTTACACAAAGATATGTTTTATATGCCACACCATTTTGGTGTGACAATACCTTGGGTACATTGGTTTCACACTCTCTTTGGTGTAGGCGTACCGAACGGACATCGTCGTATCACAGTACTTGTACTATGAATTATATACGTCTGTATAGAGGGAAGGCTACAAAGCCAATAAAAGATAGTGGCTAGCACTAAGTATAGAATAGGTCTTTCTCCGATAAACATTATATAAATTATTTTGAACCGGCTCTGTTACGAAAAGCATGCTCTGTTTTTTGTGTGATTTACATTCAAATACACAGCAGTTACAAATGCTCACCACAACGCACCTCCCTAATCGGCTGTACGTCTTTAATATTTCTGAAAGACTCCGTCATTGCAAGCCATGCATTCCGGGTTTTTGTCGGGACAAGCCACACGTAAAACTAGCACGCAAGTGACGGCGTCTTTCGGAATACAATCTTCGCTCTAACCTATATTTGAAGGCAATAGAGGAACAAAGTACATGAATGACCAGCAAAAAATGATACGAAACCCAAAAAGCAGGATTGCTGACACGTTGTCGTCGCTCTTTATAAGCGAAGCTCAAGCAAGAAGCAGCAACTGATCTCGTTCAGAATGACACTTGGTCGTCAGGATCAACTACACGTATTTTTGTCCACTTGAGGTATAGAAAGCCAAGCAAGTTGTATCCTAAGCAGCGAAGGTATACAGTGTCCGGTATAGCAAGATACAAAGTCAGGAGTCCTGAACCATTTGTCACGTTCAAGGTGAAAAGAACGGAAGGAATTTGAAGTGACGTCCGTGGTGTTGCATCTTGATTGCTTATGATTATTAACAGTTCTAGCGATGGAACTCCCTCCATGTGTATGCCATGTTAATCTCGTCCTTCCTGAAAACGATGGTCAGCGAGTTGCAACTCGCTGGTCACAGCACACTGGGTTTCTTAGTTGCAGAAGCAGACAAAACCGCGTCGACTCCACTTTCCTCTCGACTGACGGTGCAAGACTGTGTTGCAGTCTCACATCTTTGCTTGCGTCGAAAATTTCATCGAAGATGTTGACAACTTGGGCGAGAACGGTGGTGTCGCAAGTGTAGAAACCTTGTTGTAACTAAATTTGCAAAGCATCTTCTGCTCTGGTTTCAACATATTGATGACCACAAATTCACTATGGTTACTCTTAATCTTGTACAACATATACCCTCAAAGCATTAACGATTTAGCTCACCTGCTTTGTGCAACACGTGCCTTCACAACACATGGACTTCATACCCTTCATGATGTGTCAGCGTCGCAATATGTGAAAGAAACAATGTTATGCACCAAATCTGCAGCTCGTTGTCTCTTGGAGCTCATCGTGCATACAATTTAGCTCAAGTGGACTAAGCATATAGAAGAGTTCTCTGTACCTCGTGGTCAAGACATTGCGATTAGGCGAATACTGGAAAGGCACAATAGGTTCTCGTAACAACTTGACTGACTATATTGGTTGCTCACAGCTGGTACGATACCAAGCAATTGGCTGTCTGTCACACAAATGCCAATGTGTTGAATGGATAAGATCAGCCGAAGGTCACACAAGTGCACTCGACTAATCAACTTAGCAAGTTGACCTTTGATACTAAAACAGCGATGTTATGGAGCTTCGCGGTTTGAGATGATTATTACCTGAAAACTACTGCGAATGGATTTGAAGCGATAGCCGGTTGTCACGTGCTTTAGCAAACCGAGCTACCGTCCCGTATAGCGAGTTTCTATTGATCCTATGATCATAAACCCAGGATCAATTCGTACAAACGTGTCTCAGAAAAAGAGCACGTTGAATCAATCAGACGAAGTAATGGAAACGACAGGCTAGCAATAGTTGTAAATAACAATTAAACGCGCAAATCAAGAATGATAACCACGAACCAAGTTTGCCATTAACATTTTTCCCTTAAAGCACGCAAGAAGACGGAAAAGATACAACCATGGGTCGCGGTTTATTTCGTTCAGTGGTTACTTTTGCTCTATTCACCATTGTTGATGCGGCATTGTCTACGGCAGACTTGACATTCGCATTTGGCGACTCCGGCTCCACCATCCCTACCGAGAGAATTTCGAACAGTGCAGTGGTGGCGGATGCAGATGTCAAGCCTTCTTTCTTACAGCGTCTTTTCTTTAAAAAAGTGCTTTTAAATAACCTAGATCCGGGACGATCCTTTGAGCTTTAAATAAAAAAACTCAAGGGCAGCAAGTTGAAATCCGGCAAATTTCAATTGTGGCTTCAACACATGATCACTACCCAGAACGATAATGCGGCTGACGCGATGGTGCCAATTATAGCCGGAGCTTACGGACTCGATGGACTCGCGAGGTTCGTTCTTGAAGCTGGAAAGAGCCCAGTAAAAGACCTGCCACCACTTTATAAAAAATTTCATGATGCGCAGACAAAGTTGTGGAAGAAGAAAGGTGAAGACGAGTTGTTTTCATTGTTAAAGTTTGATGAGTTTGGAAAGAAGGAAACCAACTCCCCTGTTGGAGACAAGAAAACCAAACCGCTGCTTGGAGAGAATGAAAGCCTTTTTGATGACGAAGTCTTTCAAATGTGGTGGAAGTTTGAAGTGGACAGAAAAAAACACCTGATGGTAAGATTGAATCGCTAAGCGATGTCATCAATATTGTTCCAGCACATTTCGATCATGACGTTCTCTCAAGGATGGTGGGTTACTCCAAGACGCACCCAGCTCAACCGAACAGTGTGTTAGAGCAGGTAAAAAAAAGCGCAAAACAGTATTTCAAGAACTATTCTACGGTTAAAGTGTTCACGCAGTTGAAGCTGAACCAACGTGCCCCTTTGATAGAATCCTTGATAATCCGGAAGCAGACGTTTTGTTTTGGCGTTGGAAACGAGAACGGGAGGATAATAGAGAAAAAAGAATTTCAAACAAGGAAGGCGACGATCTGGCCAAAGCAATCATAGAAGCCCATCCAGATAAGAATATACTGGTGGCCATAAGACTTTTCTTTATGAAGAAAAAGACTTACTTGATTGATACGCGCAAAGTGTTGCTGGCGGAATTCTATCAACAGTTGGGAAATAAGCACGGCTTTACGAAATCCCTAACCAGAGAAGTTAAGAAAGAGCTGGCGAAGAACGAGGTTATTTATACACCACAGAAGAAATGTGATGATTGGATTGTAAATGAAATTGCGAATGGTGTTGAAAACAACTAGGCCAGGTGAATGTAATAGTTTGTCGCTTGTATCCATCCGTGCGGTACAGCTTCAGACTAGTGTATATCATGAAAAAGTTACCTCTCTGCGCTAGCATACCATGAGCTTTGAAAAAAATACGTCAATAATGAAATTTGTTTGCCATTTTTCCGTCTGGACATTGCGAAACGTGCAATGAGTGTCGATCTCAATGACCGCTTTCTGTCTAGCAAAAGCAATGTAATAGCAAGAACTAGGCAGATTCGATCGCGTGTACAACACAATTCATAGGCTTGCGCTTTCATTCCGTGTTTATTGTACATACACACCTGCCACCCATGTGGTGTGGCTGTACCTTGGGTACAAGAGTAGACTTGATGTGACCGTACCTGAAGTAAGAAGGGTCACATCGTGGCAGAAAGCCACGTGGTCACTATACTTATTTAAAGAATAGTGACTAGGCATGTTTGCATAATAATAACAGACTATAGAGCCAGTAAATAGTGACTAGCACTATGTATATGAGTAGGTGCTTCTATATTTAGTGTTAGAAGATAAACATAAATACAAATCAGTTTCAAACCTGCTCTGTAAGCATCACTGCTTGAGCTTTCTATTCCTCCTGAGGAATCAGTATCTTTGATACTAGTCTCTTTGAGACCCGGTTGTAACAACCGATAAGCACAAGCTTACGAGCTAGCCTAGGAGGGTTAAGCACCCTAAGACGTATAAGCTCTCTGAGCTTGTCTTCCTCTGCACATAGTGCATAAGTAGCTTGGCTACAGTAGCTCGGCTACACCTGGTAGCACTTGTAGTCAATCCCGCACCTGGGTTTGCGACTACTTCTCTGTGTGAGAATGGACATCGAGGAGATTCCAGCGGTTGGTCTGTCACAGGCACAACAGGAAGGGTTGCAAAGCTGCTCCCTATCCTTGGCCCTAAGGGCGCGGAGTACCTCATCGCCCAGGGCGAAGAAGAGGTTAGCAAGCGTAATCGTATGCTTGATGAGTATAATAAAGCTCTAGTCGAGCATGTAAAGGCTACAGATGCCTTCTTCTGCGCCTTCGCCCATGGCGACTATGGCGCAAGAAGTGGTCCGCAGACCAAAATCCATACAAAGCAAAGAAGGTGACAGCTTTATGCTTTGGTTCCGACAGGTTGAGTCGGCTATGTTTATAGCCGACATAACGTATGAACCGTACCGTGTGGGCTTTGTCACGGGTAAGTTGGGTGGCTTAGCCAAACAGTGGCATTCACATGGGTGACATTGCAAAATACTTTCCCCAACGTGGGCCGACCTGAAAGCCCAGATGACCCGGCAGTATGCACCGCCCAACCAAGCACACCGTAACCGGTCGCGTTTTTGGCGTGTCGCCAAGGCAAGCGTAAGCTTGCGGCATATGTACAAGAGTTGAGAACTCTCATTGCTGCCATGGTCATAGTAGACCCTATGCCTGAGGCAGTGACCGTCACGGTCTTCATGGAGGGCCTCCGAGTTGGCGCTGACAGAACGGAAGTCTTCCGGGTAAACCCGTCCTCATTCGAGGAAGCTGTTGGAGTGGCATGGAATGCCAAGACCAACTTTAAGGCCGCTAGGCCTGACACTTATAACTACTCGTCTGATGGGTCTGTACCCATGGACTGTAGTCAAGTGGAGGATGAAGAAGCTGAGCTTCAAGCTGCGGAGCAGCAAATTGTGCGCAGATGTTATATCTGCAAGAGCACAGGCCATTGGATGGCAAAATGCCCCGCAAGAAAGGCATATTTGGCCTCGAAGGGCCGACGCCCCATGGATAAACCTTCTGGTTTGCCGCGGGGAAACGGCGGAACCCAGTAGGCGCGGGGCGTACTACTGGGGAAGAACTGAGATGTAGTGTTACGACACTTGCTTATAAGCGTTAAGTCCCAAGCACTTTGTTATTAATACCCTTTGTGTGCTTACGAACACTTGCTTTCACAGCACTAAGTGCCTGGCACTTGCTTGTTAAGCACTTCTCCCTATAGCACTTGCTCTATCATGGATAATACATTGCGCCGCGACATCTTTGGGGACGATGACAGTGACTTGCCTCTAGGGGTAACGGTGCCGAGTCTCTTTCGGATCATGGTTTCCCAAGATTATCACGCTAACCAAGCGAGAGACGTAGATCCCATTCTGTGTCTTATCCCCCAAAGGATACAACCGCATTGCACCAAGCGCCACCACTTCCCTCGCGAGAAGGTTCAGATGAAGAGGTAACCAATCCTCTTGACTCTGCACAGCTTCGTCAACTCGATGACGAGGCCCGAACGGCCGCTTTGGCACGGCCCAAACAAAAGTTTTCACGACGTGATTATGGGCTCGTGCCCTGGGAACCCAATGAGGAAGCTCTACGAGCATCGCAATCTTTGCGAACCTATGTCATTGGGTCCCATGCCCCTACGGTCTGCAAGGACACAGATAGTGTAGCTCATCGTAAGCGGCTCCTTACTCCCTAGAAGTTTACGATGAAGTCGTATCAGGAGAGATTGTCACGACAGTAACGTGGGGTGCTCGTGTACCCACTAAACGGCATTTCAGTGGTGCTTGCACCAGGTACAACATCTGCACAAGATGATCACCAGTTCACCCTTTGGGTAGAACGAGCATGTAAGCTCTCAAGTTTATCAAACTTGCGTTTAAGCGCTAAAGCGCAATACGTTTGGTTAAGACGTCGTCTACGTTTTAACTTTGCTAAGCTCAAAGCGAAACGTCAATTACCTTCCACGTGGAGATCAAATACTTGTAGGGGACAAGCTTCTAAAGGTGTTGCTCGTACCTCTCACACAAGAGATGTACCGGCATTGGCTTCTTCTGAAAGTCAGAGGCAAAACCAGCCTACTGACTGACCTTACTTCCACAGCACCTAGTGCTAGGAAGCATTAGATGTTCCTGATGTTCAAGGCACTATAAAGTGCAGTCATCGGCGAAGCAGCGGTGATCTCCCCGAAGGAACAGAAAGCGCACGCGGCGAACGTGATTAACAGCTATCGTCGCTTCTGACCGTCCTGATCAACAGCGTCAACGGCTTCAGCGGCTTCAGGGCTATCCTGCCGGAGGGGTACCTCATACTCCCACGAGTCGTACGACTGGGGGTAACCCCTCCACTTTACCAAGTATTGGGTATGACCCTGGTGACGACGCCGATCCAAGAAACGTTCCACGTGAAACTGTTGATGACCCAGTTCATCAATCAGCGTCAAAGGAAGTCGATGACCCATTGACATCTCATCTCTCTGAGATAGGGCGTCACCCGACACTTCTTGAGCGTGACGCTCTTGCATCGGTGAGGTCTCACATGTTATCGCTCGATGACCGTGTCGATAGACACCGTCATCCTTTAAGCGTTATCGCTCTGAGACCGGACCGCCTAGCGGCGATAGAGCGTTCTCAAGCCGAATTCGGTGTCAGATTGACCTCCTGGTACGCCTCCAGCGTCCATATGCACCTCCGGTGCCGTAATACCCGCTTCCTTCGGCCGAGAGTAATGGGGACAACCCCTCCAAGTCCACCGAGTCACGGTTGTGATATGGCTCTAGTAAGCCTACATAGAACACAGGGTGTGTTTGCATCTTCTTTGGAAGGTTCAGCGTATAGGCTAAGCCTTTCTTGCCTATGACCTTGAAAGGTCAAATAGAGCGTGAACGCAGTTTGGTTTTATATACCGCAGACAATTCACGTGTCGTAAATTCCTAGCATTTAATAAAACTAAATCACCCACTTTGAACTCGTGTTCATTCTTCCTGCCTTTGGCATCTGCATGTTCCTTTTGAACATCCTGGTTTTCACCCATAGCATCTTCGACGCGACGTAATACGTCAAAACGCGTTGGCAGAAACGTTTCCACCTTCTTGCGAAGCGCAACAGGGCTGAAATCAGCCAAGCCTTCGGCTATCTTGCCCCCCACTAAGCCCTGATATGGCAGGGTGTAGCGTTAACGGAACGTGAGGATTAATCAAACCATTTACATAGAATGGGGTAAAGCCTGTTGAGACATACACCGCGTTATTCAACGCAAACTCAATGAGTGGGAGCATCGTGCTCCATTGCTTGGGCGTTTCAGCACAAACACTACGAATTATGCCACCAATAACGCGTTTCACGCGTTCTGTCTGACCATCGTTCTGCGGATGATCCGCCGTGGACATGTCCAGTCGAGTGCCCAGCACTTTAAAGACCGACGTCCAAAACTAACCTGTACAACAGGGGTCTCTATACGAGACGATTGCCACAGGCAATCCGTGTAGTCGAAACACACGATCCATTAACAACTTAGCGGTTCCTTCTCCATCAATGAAGTCCGGCACTGCCGCTAACTGAGCCATCTTGCTCAGTCGGTCAACAAAGACCACCATGCCAGTGCTGCCTGCCGCATCGCACGGTATCCAAAACACAAAGTCCATACTAATGGACTGCCACAACCCCGAGGGTACAGGCAAACGCCAAAGGTGCAGCCATACTAAGCGAGGGCTTCACTCTTTGACACGTTTTACACGTGCGTACAGATGTACCAACCCATTTATACAACTTGGGCCACCAATAATGGGTGCTCGCCGAGCTTTGGGTTTTCTCACGACCTAAATGACCACCAAGTGGTGTATCGTGAGCTAAAGTACCTGATACTTGAGTTCCTCATCATGAGGCACCACAACACGTGATTGGTCATCCGACCCTGTAATATAGTACAACAGACCATCCGTCAGTGCATAACGGCATAATCTCGCACGATTACGTGGTGACAGCTTCACCTTAGAGTTTTCAAACTCTGCGCTACCATCGCCTGCAAAATGGCAACACAAGCCTCATCGCGTGCATGCGCCACACGGATACGATCCGTGACTGACGAACTCACAACAGTGAGATGAGCAAACTCATAGTCAGGTCTACGCGATAACGCGTCAGCCAAAGCATTCTGTTTTCCCGGCTTATACTTCACCTCAAAGTTATACTCCGCGAAAAAGGAGAGCCAACGAGCCATTTTCTGCGAGGGATGAGGCGACTG